TTCTGATGGAGCATTTTTCAATCCAAAAGGCATTACATTCCATTCATATTGACCAAATGGTACATTGAATGCCGTTTTATATCTATCTTGTTCTTGAATTTGTATTTGCCAATATCCGGATTTCATATCAAATTTGGAAAAGATACAAGCTTGAGCAGTTCTATCTAATAAATCTTTTTTATTGGGAATAGGATATCTAATCCATTTTAAAACTTTATTTAAAGGTTTATAATTGATAACCAGTCTAGGAACCCCTCGTTCCTTCTCTGCATTCTTATTGACATAAAAAGCTGCACAGCTCCAAGGTGAGGAGCTTGGTCGTATTAACTTTTTATTTTGAAGTTCATTAATCTCTTTGCCACACATTTCTAATAGAATAGTATTCATTTGTATTGGTCTAGCTTTAGTAGGTATTTGTTGTTCATCAAATCTTTTTTCATAGGGAAGACTAATACTATGTTTTTTTCTTTCCCAAAAAGCATTAGGATGTTCGCTACAAATAGATGTTTCTATTTGTTGCTATATTGTTTTAATTTTTTGTTGAATTAAAGGAGTATTGATTTGTTCTTCAATATATTTATATTTAATTTCTTGTTTAAGAGTACAAAGAAATTTTTCTTTATTCTGTAATTGATCTTTTACATTATTGATTTCCTTTAACTTTGGTTTATGGATGAATTCAAAATGTATTGGTTCATTTTAATACTTTGACGATATTCCTGTTTGGTCTATTGATAAAGGATATAAAAGGGTAAGGAATGGTACTCCAAGTATCACTGCTTGGCTCAATCCTTTTACCATTATAAATGGTGTATTGATACATTGGTAATTATTACAAACAGAAGCATTGGATAATTTATGGTTGATAAATAACCTACTGCCATCTGCGGTATTAAGTATTTGGGTAGTTTTATCAAATATTTAGAAGGTACTAATCCTTCGTTTATGCAATTAAGATCAGCTCCTGAATCTATTAGGGCTGAAGTTTCAAAACTATAGTCTTTTGCCACAATTATTTTGATTTGAACAAACCATTTTTCAATCATTATTTTGTCTATTAGGTTGACAGAGGGAAGTGGTATTACTTGTGTTTTGGCTTCTGGAACCTCTGAAGATTCTGGAATATCTTGTGAGAAGCCTGTCTCATATGTCATGAATTGATCAAAGTCTATTTCATCAGTATCTGAATTTGGTTGAGATAGGTTTTGTAATTCCAAAGTTCTAATTCTATTTTTTAATTGAGATACTTCTTTCTTAATTTCTTTGATTTCTTGTTTGAAGTCAGAAATCGAAGGTTCTTTTTGTTGAGAACTATGTTGTTGACTTACTCTTTTCATTATTGAATCGAAATTGTATTCTTCCAATTTATTAATTGGAAGTGGTTTTGCCTTATTTTTTGTTAATGAAATAAATTGAGTAATGACAGATCTCTTTTCATTCGGATCAGAAATCTTATCAATAATGTCTAATATGAAATTATCTTCTTATGTGAGTGTATGAACATTATGTGTAGGTATAGGACAGCTACAATCATTTTCTTACTAAGGAAATCTACTTAAATTCACCACCAAGAAAGTTGGTCTGAGAGTTAAGACACGAGACAAAAGGAATCTATTGCAAAGTACCGCCAAGGCCAGGAAGAGCCGCTTAGGGAAAACGCTGGATCCTTGATTGTCCTGAGTTGTCATTATCCGCAACCTACGGATGGCAAATTTAATTAGAAATCTTAAAAGTCACAATACAACTTCATCTCAAACACTTAGAGTGAAAAATATGGAACAAGTTATAATCAATGCTATTGAAGATCATATTCAAAATTGGAAATTCCCAAGGTACCAATTAATGACATTTATAATAAAGGATCATTCAAATTAAAGATGGGCTATGCCATCAAAACAGTAGAAGAAAGTTTATCTGTAACTCAGAATTAAGAAAACTTTCAACTACTATCGAAAAAAATTATTGAAAAACATATAGAAAATAAATACAAATATTTACACTTTGGATTAATCTAAATAGCAGTGAAACCCTTAACCCGACTTGGGTTAAACACCTCTGTGCTTGTATGCCTAAGAGATACCAGACACTATAATTTCACAGATTCACTACTTGGCATGGTTGAATCCAGCCTTTGTAGTGGACCGATATATTTCAATTGTTTTCCAAATTTTTCAGTTTCTTTAACAGATCCACATATATTAGATATACTATCAATTAATTTGAAAACACATGGATTTCATATGGTACATGGTTCCCAAAATTTGGCCATAGTATATAGAATATATTATAAAGTAATGAATACCTTATGTCCAAATATTATACGAATGGATCCAAAAGATCAAACCATATTATTCCAAACAAATATGGAAAAATCTCTTACAATTGTTCCTAGAACAATTAAATGGTCAGATATTATATTACAGAAGAAGCAATAAAAGCAAAATTATATAATATAATCAATTATGATTATTCATCCTCTACTTCTACTATTCTCATATAGATCAAATCCAAGATGATGATCTGATATGGACAGAGTCATCTGACTCTTCCAATACTTCTGATACAGACTCTTCCATGTCAATACAAGAAAATGATTGTAGCTATCCTATACCTACACATAATGTTCATACACTCACACAAGAAGATAATTTCATATTAGACATTATTGATAAGATTTCTGATCCGAATGAAAAGAGACCTGTCATTACTCAATTTATTTCATTGACAAAAAATAAGGCAAAACCACTTCCAATCAATAAATCGGAAGAATACAATTTCGCTTCAATAATGAAAAGAGTAAGTCAACAACATAGTTCTCAATGACTCCATAGATCAACATATTAAACATATTAATACTTTTATACATGCAACCAGAAATGCTGGATTGGTAGTTTCGGCAAAAAAGATTACTTTATTCCAAACCAATATTAGATTTCTTGGTCATATGATTCATCATGGCACAATTATTCCTATTGATAGATCCATACAATTTGCTGATAAATTCCCTGATCAAATACTGGATAAAAAGGAACCTCAAAGGTTCCTAGGTTGTTTAAATTATGTTAGTGATTTTTATCCGAATCTTGCTATCGATTCCAAGCCTTTATATGATATACTCAAAAAGAATCATCCACCATGGACCAATATTCATACCCAAGCAATACAAGTAATCAAACGCAAGGTGAAGACTCTTGAATGTCTTTCTCTTCCTCATCCTACTGCTTTCAAAATCATAGAATGTGATGCCTCAGATAGAGGCTTAGGAGGCATTCTTAAACAAAAAATAGATAGTCAAGAACAATTACTTCGGTACACCTCTAAAGCTTGGAATTCCACACAAAAGAATTATTGAATGGTCAAAAAAGAATTATTAGCCATTGTTCATTGTGTTTCCAAATTTCAAAGTGATATTCTTAATCAACAATTTCTTATAAGAACATACTGCAAGGCAGCCAAAGATATTCTGCAAAAAGATGTCCAAAATTTGGTTTCTAAACAAATATTTGCTCGATGGCAGGTAATACTTTCTGCCTTTGATTTTACATTCGAACATCTTCCTGGGTCTTCAAATTCTTTGCCTGACTTTTTAACCCGTGAATTTTTGCAGGGGGGCAACACTGACTCCAACGACGAACAGCCCTTATCACTTGCATTACAATTGTTCGAGGAGAATAAGAATAGTAATATTTTACTCTTACCTTCACCTACTAATATGGGTGCTCAGGCCCTTCTCGCCGAGACAAACAACCCATGACCAGTAAAATAATACCATATGAAGGGGAACAACCGCCTTTGGCAATCCGTTCACATTCCCATTCTTCTGTTCATCAAAACCCATATATTCTCCAGCACAAAGCAAATCTGCTTATCAAACCAATATACCCAGATCTCTTTATATTGAAAGAGCCTATCTCATGGATATTACTATCGATGAGAAACATATAAATACTGAGCCCATAAACCTTGCTCCTCTTTATCTACTCAATCATCTTAACCCTTCCAATTGGGTTAAAACAAGAGAATATTTTGAAGCAATACTGATGGAAACAAGATCCATATCTGTTGTCCATTACTACCAACAGAATACAAGGACCATTGCATATTCTAAGGTCCAAATTAAAAATCTACTTTCCTATGAAGAGTGGGGTTGCAATCCCGCGCATGGGAAAAAACTTCATAACCCAGATTTTTTATACAAATATTTCAAGTATGCCGAATACATTGAGGCATGGCATAAATTTTTCTATTATCAAAATCCCAATTATACTCATAGCTGGTGCATCCAGTTTAGACTACCTGTTTTCGAAAGATTCCCCACCTGGTTTAAAAAGTGGTTTTTTGTGTGGGGTTCAACTTCTCAAATTTTACCTCCTGCTTTTCAAACAGTGCAGGAAAAATTCCAAGAATATAACCAGATTGATAATACCATAGACATTCACCTTTATTTCATGGCCCTATACCAAATACCCTGAATAATGAAATGGGAGTATTCCATCTCCCCTGATACCACCTCTGATTACTCATATATCCCTAGACTTGGTAAGACTATTTCGGTTAAGTGGTGGGACATATTCAATATGGACCCAACATCACTAACTCCAAAAAGAATACCCCAGAAAACCCTGGACAAACCACAAAGCCAGAATACAGCGAATACTTCCTTTGATTTTCTCACATACCTAAGAAATATGCTTCAATCAAACCCTAATGCCTCCAAAGAGACATTAGAAAAACAGATGAAAGAAATATTTGCTGAAGCAGGGAGAAAGCCAGTCTCCTTTGAAGAAACAATACAATCATCTCCCTTACATACCAATCAATACCTCAATCTCCCTATGGAAGATCCGGAAGAAGAAACTGATCACGAAGAATATGATCCCGATGAATTCAGTCAGAGACCATAAAGAATATTCCTACAATACTCAATCACCGATGCTGTCAAATATCACCACCGATGCTGTCAAGATCAACACCAGTACTGCCAATAATACCACCGACGAATACCAACAAAAGAAGATTCTCTTCCAATCTCATCACCAACATCCCACCGACAAAACACTGTGCAGAGATTCTGCACCGACACAACAAGACAAGAAAAGCACTGTGCAAGATACTTCCACTGTAGCCATTAGCAGAAAAGACAAAAACATCACTGTAGCAGATGCTTTTTAAAGCATCCCTTTTTGTCGTTTTTTATTTTGTTTTTTCTCTTTACGTCATGTCATCTTCCTTTATGTCGTGTCACTCACCTTTATGTCTCCTCTCCATTGCTTCGAGACGAAGGAAACCTCTCTATATAAGAGGACCTCCTCCTTCTCATTGAGGCAAGTCGCTTAGGTCGTTCCCAAGGTCGCTCAGGGCTCCCAAGGTTGCTCAGAGGTCAGTCTGAGTTCTCTCTTTCTCTCTGTTGTCTCTCTCTCTTCTTTAAGTCTCCTCTTCTTATCTCAAAGATATTTCTACTCTTCTACCATCCTTTCGAAGTCGTCACAAAGTCTCAGGTAGCACCTTCCCTCATCTTCTCAGAATTGTTGTCTTCTTTCCCAGTAACAGGTTTTGTTATATCTCTCTCTCTCTTCATTGATCCATTTCAGCAAGCTATCTTGACCTCATAGCTTCAATACCTTTTCTCTCTCAATATGTGTGATTGCAATATTAATTCTTTACCTTCATACTGTCCGCACCACTGAAAGTTATTTTCCAGTTACTGTATATGCACTCAGTAAGTTATTTTGATTTCTGCTTTTCTGTTCAATAGTTTGTATAAACAGTGAGTTGTTTGTAATAGTTGTTGAACGTGTGAAGTTTTCTAATGTGCTACAAGAATTTTATATATTAATAAAGTTTGATATGAATTATGCAATTTAAGATATTATTCAGTATAAAAGTTGGCAATTTAAATTATGCTCAATGGTTTGTTATAGATGTCTCTATTATTCCGCTTATCTGCATATTACTGTTCATCCTAAATTATTATAGAATTCTACATGAATTAATTAAATATAATAGTTTGTTATTTACATATCTACTTTAAAATACTTTTAATAGGATTGCTTCATCAATTACTACCTTAATAAAGATAAATAGGATCGGACTATAGATCCTAAGCGTTTGTGGTATCAAAGCCAAACAGTAACAACTGTGCAAACAGGGAACTGTTTATA